ATTTAGTTTCTGCCCAACCTAATAATTTACGTACCTAGCCCGGAATTACAGAAGCTCTGCAACTCCAAGATACAAATGCAGAACCTGCAAGTCTGACTTTTCGTATTACAGAAGCAGAATGCACCTGCAAATTTGCGCCTGGTGAAACGGTCCCGTAAGTCCTTTGACAACTTTGACATTTAAAACTGGTAAATCAGTAGCGCCCGAACACTTTTTTCCGGTAATTATGACAGAATTGCAGATTTTTTCTGTAATTTGCTCGTTCCTGCAAATAGAGCACATATATGCAAGTCGGCATGGGCGTCGTTTGGGGGGGGGCAAGGGGGGCATTTGCCCTCCCCCCTAGAAATAGTCTTTTGAACAAGAAAGCAGTAAAAGAGAGTTCGTATTCGTATTGCTTTTTTCCATTTTTTCAAAATTTGTTAGGTAGGTACTTTGAAAAATTGGCATTTTCGTCACATTCAACGGAATTGAATTTCACTTGCTTAGGGCCGGTATTATGAAACACCGAACCGATGGTAGAGTTCCAACCTTCGGTTGAATCCTGTCAATTTGCATGGAGTCAACCCAAGGTTGAAACTCAATCATCGATTCAGTGTTTTATAGTACCGGCCATTAGAAAATTAACTAAACAAATGCAGTGGCGACGCCAGGGTTCTATGTTAGGGGGGAGGGCAGACTGGGCCAGAAAAATTTAGGGGGGGGGAATTTGTTTTTATTTTACTGCTTTTCTTCTTTGGAATAAAAAATGGGAAGTACCTGTCGACACTATTATGTTTGAGGTAATCCCAGGAAACCGAAAGCAGCAGGCCTGCGGGCAACGTCATCATTATAAGCTGTTTGTGCTGCTAATACGAAGTGACGTCACTCGCAGGCCCTGCCGACTCGAGAGTTGACGAACGTACGCCTTATGAGGATGAGAATTCCTGTTAGTTTACGATTCTTGGCCTGTGCTCACCGAATACCGAATTAACCGACAGAGACTGCTGATGTTACATTGCATTGTTGCCGACATGAGAACAAGTTTTCAGGGGGGGGCCGGCTAAATTTCAGTGGCGGCCCCGGCCTCTTCTGGCCCTTCCCTGGCGTCGCCACTGAACAAATGATGCGGACAGTGAATTTGTTGCGGAAAAAAATACCATCATTTTTAACTAAATATCGATATCAACTAAGTACCTTAAAATGCTCAAAAAGGGACGTGGCACTAAAAAAAATTAACCTACGGCGGTTGCCTGCGGCGCTAATGGAAATGGTCTTATTATAATACTGCCCCCCCCTGAGAAACCTCGTAACGACGCCCATGCAAGTCGGCCATATTTGCAGAACTGCAAATTTGCAGATACAAATATACTGTAATTGGGCCCCTAGTCAACAAATATTTTATTAAATAATCAAAATCAAAGTTACAAGCAAAACTCTAAGCAAAATAATTGCATGAAAACAGATATTCAAAACAAACTTGCTTGGCCGCCACGCCATATTGAATCTTTATTTTGACAGATGGATTGGATTGCCTAAATACATTCACGTTTAGCATTTTAACAAAAATAAAGTCGCAAAGTCGGTCCGCGATCATAGTTCAACTAATATCAGAAATTAGAATATTTTCATCAAGGAAAATAACTAAGTTATAAGAGATTTCCAGGGGGGGTCAAGTGACCCCCCCCCTGACCCTCCCTGTGGGCGCCCTTGCCGGCACACAGACTTGAACATAAGCTTCGTACCAGAGATGGGCATCTACGCGAGAACAAAAATTGTCTACGTCTGGTGTAAACAACGCGTAGACAATGTAGACTATGTAGACAACGTGTAAAATATGTAGACAACGCGTAAAGTATACAATTTTTGACAGTTGGCAGGCCTTTAAGGTTATGTTTCTATTTTTGCTTTGTTTTGTTTTTTGCAGTTCGCAATTCGCGATTATGAAAACTTAGCTTTAAGCTTACGGGCAAGTTTTTGAAATCATCAATAGACCTATCTATTTTACCAGACAAAGACGTAATAATACGAAAACATTATGCCTGTTCGTAGACAAATCACAAACCAGTCAGAGTGAATCTCATTGGTTGAAAATAGTTTTCTGACTGTTTCTGATTGTTTTCAACCAATGAAATTCGCTCTGACTGGTTTGTGATTGCTGTGCGAACAGGCCTTTTATTAAATAAAAAAAGACACAAAACGCTCATTGCGCAAGACGAGGCAAAATGTACCAAATTATGTTGGACTTACGTATAGCAATCCGTCCTTCTTATTTGCACAGGATAAAAAGGAAAGGAGAAAAATCGCGTGTTGTGCAACGTATTCGTCAATGAAAATGTCAAACAACTTTTGAATGACACTTGTCAAGTTGAATATTAACTTTAGATTTATTCTTGTCAGACCACGTGCAATGAACAAGGATAAAGAGATACCCAGCGTGCAAAACGACCACCTCACACCTGTATTAGCTAGCCAATAAAAAGACATTGCCTCGTGTTGCGCGCGCATACCAGGTAAAAATAGATGGGTCTATTACATATGCGCATTTTCACCAATATAATGTTGTCTTTGTCATTTGACACTAGCAAAACAGGGATAGGTTACTCATCTAGAGAAATGCGCATAAGCAAATGGTGAATTTAAAAACTTGGCCTACTTTTCATGCGTCCGTTTATCCGTCAATCCGATGATCCGGAAGTATTCCTATTGGTCTAATATTTTGGTTTGGTTTTTTTTCGGGACCACGCCCGTAGGCCGGACCCACGGATAATACACACTACTACTACAGGATACCCTATCCTCATAAGGCCTGTGTAGAGCAAATCTGAAGCCCATTACCCCATCAAATCACCATTTGTGACGTAAGTAGCATGTCGTTTATCGCCTTGACGTAGGCTGTTTGCACCACAGGTTATGATTCCACGGGCTTTTGCTTTATGCATACTTGGTTTTACTATGGTTTATTTTTTTCCAAGATAGATTTTGGCATTGTCAACTTTGAAACATAAACAATGCCGCTAATGCCGCTTATTGGTCGCTATTGTAAAACTGATGTTAACCTGCAGAAACACCTCATTTTGCGACCAATCAGGGTCAAGCGTTATTGTTTATGTTACAAAGTTTTCAATGTCAAAATCAATCTTGGGAAAAAATAAAGTGTACATAAATTAACATTTTAAAACAACTATTTTTTAGATCTCGTTTGCATCTTCCCATTTGCCTATCATGTTAATCAAAATTAAATAATATCTTTCATCATAAATTTAAATTCTAAGCTACGACTGCTGCGCAAACAGCTGACGACATAGTTGATGACGTCGACAATGGTGATACACCAATATGGCGGCGATTACCAAAAACGAGACCGATAAGCAATCCCTAGTCTAACCGTTCGTTTTCAAGTGGCATTTTCAGTGATGTCCATCACTTGACATACCGCCCCTAACCGTTTTATAACCCGGTTAGTTTAAACCGGAACGACGTGAAAAGGTGTTTGGTTACGTTAACGGTTAGAACAAAAACAATAGAAAATTTGTAAACAACAGAGAGCGGGAAAATTGTGACAGGTGTAAACTGAAATATTGGGTACATTCAGGCGGTGCCAGCGGCTAAAGACGTCTTTTTCTGAAGGAATGTTTTGAAATGTTTTGAAACGTTTTAAAACCTTATATTTTTGTGTTGCAACGGTGACGTCATATACGGAGGCGGTTCAACCAGTTTCAAACCGCTCTTTCAGCCTGTTTCAAAATAAACGTTAAACAGCTGATCTCGAAATACCACAAAACAATAATTTTGGGGATGTCGCGGGCTCCGTTTTAAAACGGGGCATTTTTGATCACCACCGATCCGATATGATGACGTAGCAATCGAACCAGTTTTGAAACGTTTCAAAACACGGTTCAACAGAAAAAGACGTCTTAAGCTCAGCCACTCAGCAGGGACTCTATTCTCGAAACCAAGGAACATCGTTTTCATAAGAACGATTGCTCTGTCATTGTCAGTGTTATGCCGGATGACAAAGACAGAACCTTCGTTCCAATGGGTACATTCAGGCGGTCCCAGCGGCTAAGCTCAGCCACTCAGCAGGGACGTAATTCTCGAAATCAAGGAACAGCATTCTCATAAGGGTCCTTATTCTTGAAACAAGGGAGCAGCGTTCCCAGGAGAATGTGTTTCGTCTTTGTTACTCATATTATGATTTGCATATCATTGAGAAAGACGGAACACTCGTTCTCTCGGGAACGCTGCTCCCTTATTTCAAGAATAAGGACCAAGGACGATTGCTCTGTCATTGTCAGTGTTATGCCGGACGACAAAGACAGAACTTTCGTTCCAATGAGAACGCTGCTCCCCTGTTTCGAGAATAAAGTTCCTGCTGAGTGGCTGAACAAAGCCGCTGGCACCGCCTGAATGCACCCAATGAGAATGCTGCTTCCATGTTTAGAGAATAAAGTTCCCGCTGAGTGGCTGACCCAACCCGCTGGCACCGCCTGAATGTACCCATTAAGTTGTGTTTTGTTAATATTTTAAAATTTCTACCTACCTATAATCGACTGACGAATATGGAAGCAATTAAAGTTAAAATAAATAATAGAGACATTTTTTTTCAAGATACACGGAAAATTTTTGTGCAGTTACTAGAAGGTAAATCAACCTATTACAAATATTTGACAGGTAGTTGGGTTGCTTAAATTTTAAAATAACAATTTTCTAACCGTTCGTTTTCAAGTGGCATTTTAATGGCTATTTGCACGGCTATCACTTATGGAATATTTAATCTAAGTCGACCTTTGAATGTGACTTTTGTTTTTACAAGAGTCGCATTCGAAGCTCTACTGGGATTAAATATCCCTTGAGATGTAGCGGTGCAAATAGCCGTCAATAACGTCATCACTTGACATACCGCTACTAACCGTTTTGTAACCCGGTTAGTTTAAACCGGAGCCACGTGAAAAGGACTAGGATTGTAAGTGAAAAAAGCTTATTAGGGAAAAGAGTGTAAAAAAAAAGTTAACAAAACCCACAAAACCTCAAACTTGAAAATTTAAAATATAAATAATAAAAAATAAATAGTTAATATCATTTTATATCATCTTTTTTTTATAGGAGTATGTATATACCTGTTTATTTAAAATGGTCCAGCCTTGTATTTCCCATTTCCCACTTATTTGTCGTTTTTGTTTGATGAAAACATCCAAGTCTGATGATTTAAGAAAAATTTCCGATGTTCCTTCTATAGACATATTCAGGGTATTAACTGGTATTGAGGTAAAAAATATAAGTACAGGGTGTTTTTTTATTTAATATATTTTCACCCCACCACAGCCTTTACTTTACAGGTAGAACAAAAAAATTTAATGTCAGAAATGTGAAATTTTGCATGCTTTCAGCTTTTCTCAAATGAGATGCTTGATGCCCTATATTTGGTTCTATATTCTTGAAGAGCACAATGCCCCGATTCCAAAAATATATAGTTTGTCTATTATATTTCGTTGAGCAGTTTCTTATATATTCAGGTCCAAAAATTGTAAAAATACTATCCTACTGATCATTCTACCTGTATGTCCAGGTGAAAGCTGCAGGTAAAATTTGAGGTACTTGGTTTTTCTGATAGTATTTTTGAAATTTTTAGAACCAAATATGTTGGAGACGGCTCAATTAAATATAGACAGACTATATATTTTTGCAATCAGGAAATTGTGCTCTTCAAGAATATTGAACCAAATATAGGGTATCTTATTGGGAAAAAGCTGGAAGCATGCAAAATTTCACATTTCTGATAGGTATTCAATTTTTATTTCTGACTATGGATTCTAAAAATTTAGCCAAAGCTGTACAATTTTTGTAATTACACCTTTCTTTTACCTGTGAAGGTTGAGGCTGTAGGTGGGGTTTCAATATATAAAAAAACACCCTGTACCTAGTCAGTACCTACATTTTGGTTTAAATTGTTTCCTTGATTGTTCCCTTGGATATTTTGTGAAACATGATGTTAACATAGTGTTCTTTTCCAGAATAATGACGATTTGCCCCAAAAAATATGCATCGTTTGTATCCAGACATTTCAATCTTTTTCCACTTTTGTTGAAACATCAAAACAGAACATTGAGAGATTGAAAACTCTCTGTGAAAAAGTGAACAATGATGAAAACCAGTGTGAAGAATTTGAGAATGAAACATTAATACCAAAAAATAATTCAAAACCCAGAACATTAACATGTAAAAATTGTAAGGCAGTATTTGATAACAAATCAGAAATAAAACTACACAGTGCACAATGTGTTAAATGCACACCAATTGATTATAAATGCTTAGAATGCAATAAAGTTTTCAAAAAGCTTCCTAGATTAAAAGTACATGAGAGAAGTCATACACAAGAAGCTCCTTATAAATGCACACAATGTGACAAAACATTTCGGTTTCAACAAAATTTAAAAAGACATTTACTAATACATCGAGGTGTTAAAAAGTTTAAGTGTGAAGAGTGTGGAAAAAGTGAGAAATAGATAACGATTCAGAAAAATTTATTCCAATTTTTATGATTTTAGCTTTTTCGAGACTTCATGTCTTAAACGATCACAAAAACATCCACACTGGACACAATCCCTATATTTGCAATTACTGCGGCAAAGGCTTTAAACGATACGCCAATCATTTTATTCATGTTCACAGACATAAATTGCTTAATGGGGAAATAAAGGACACTGAAGACCAAAAATTGTATTTGCAGATACAGTGCAAAATTTGCAAAAAAATATTTGCCAGTAGGGGGGGATTGGAAAATCATTTGATTTTACATCAAAAAGAACCAAAGGAGAAACGGTTCTTGTGCACCTATTGCGGGAAAGGTATACTTTTTACGTTTACTTCATTAGTTTTTAATTTTCTATATTTCATATCAGGTTTTAACACAAACTCTCAACTTGTCTCACACAGAAGAACACATACGGATCAAAGACCCTTTGAATGTTGTTTGTGTGAAAAAAAGTTCAAACAGAAAAGTGCCTACAATAATCACCAGCTGATGCATACGGGCGAGAAATCGCACCAGTGCACAATTTGCCAGAGGCTGTTTGGCCAATCTGCACATTTGAAAGTGCACATGCGAGTGCATAGTGGCGAGAAACCTTTCAATTGTAGTTTTTGCGAGAAGAAGTTTGCTTTGAGAAGCAATTTGAAGGTAAGGTAACTGGTAAGGATGACTATCTAAAGGCAATTTTTTGGATTTTTGTCTATTAGTAATCATGGATATTTAATTTTTTTTAATTTTGTACCAAGTTCTCTATTATTTTTCCAGGTCCATACAAGAACTCATACTGGTGAAAAGCCGTATGTTTGTCCATTATGCGACAAGAGCTATTACGATTCAACTGGTTTGAAAAAACATATGAAAACTCATAATAGTAAAGAGGCATCAAATAGTGATGTAAAATAGCATGTCATGTAATCTATTTTTCAATAAGATATTTGGTAATCTTCGCCGTTTTTAGTTGTTTTTTGGATAATTATTATTTATTTATCAACAGGACAGTTTCCCTAATTATAATAATAATAATAATAATTTCCCAATAATAAGGTTATTTTGAATTGTGTAAAATACCAAATACCTAAATTTTGGAATTGTAAGTTCAGTTTTGAGAAGATGTAAATTAAAATCCAAAATAGTTATTTTAAATTTGGAAAACAACAAATTAAATTTGGGATGGTAATTTTAATTTTGGAAAATATAACTTGTAAATGGTAAAAGTAGGGTTGCCACATGGCCGGGATTTTCCTGGATTGTCCAGAAAGTAACTGTGTAGTCCCACATCCCTGATTCATATTTTTTAATCCCGGAAAATCGCTCTTTTTAATAGTTTTGTTTCAACCACAGTTTTTTCAACCCAGCAGTAGTGAACTGTATATTTAACATTCTCACCGCCAGGAATCTGCGCAAAAAGTGAATTTTTTTTGGTTGCCACGCCCAAAAGTGTTCATTTCAAGCCTCAAAATGAACTTTTTTGGGCATTTAGAGTTAGAGTTGAAAAATAGTTATTTATGTATCAAGGGTACTAGATGATTATGCCCTGAGGGCGACAGTCGTAAGTCGCCCGAGGGTATATATATCTATTAGTACCCGTGGTGCATACAAACTTTTATGTCATACCAGTTGGTTGTGAATAATAAATACCTGGGAAAAAAGTGTCACATCGCAAATTGTCATCAGTGTGCAAACATCATCATTTTTTGACAAAAATAATATGTTTATAAGCATAAATTTATATTTTGTTAATAAAGAATAAGTTAATTGAAAACTGTTTTTTGCGTCTCTATGCCCGCGCGGGCCATAATGTGTACTTTATGCCCGCACAGGCATAAAGTAATGAATTATGTAGATGGTATCTAAGGTATAAAAACACAATAATCTATTGGTATGACATAATAGTTATTTATGTATCAAGGGTACTAAGTAGATGATTATGCCCCGAGGGCGACAGTCTTACAAAGCCGAGGGCCTCTGGCCCGAGGGTTCGTAAGTTGCCCGAGGGTATATATCTATTAGTACCCGTGGTGCATACAAACTTTTATGTCATGCCTGCGCGGGCCATAATGTGTACTTTATGCCCGCACGGGCATAAAGTAATGAATTATATAGATGGTATCTAAGGTATAAAAACACAATAATGTACTGGTATGACATAAAAAAAATTTTGGAACATATTTGTTTTCTATGAGTTGTTTGAATGCGGGTGAGTTGTGATCAATAATGACAAACACTATCCTAAAACTAAGTAGGACCTGGGCTTGGGCCTGGGTACGAAAATGAAAAATAGGCCCCTGTGGAAAATCAAGACACCCCAGTCCCTAGTCGTAATACTGACCTACATAACATACCCACCTGCACTTGGAAGTCTTTGGTATAGTTTCTTCAAAGTTAATTGGAACAAGGTGAATATAAATTATAACTGGTGGCTGACTAGTGGCAGTACATTTCTTATGGAAATTTTCAGTGACTAGTCAACCACCCAGTTGGTACCTTGTTCCAATTGAGTTTGGAAATACTATATCAAAAAAGTTGGTAATATTGTTAGCAGGAGTATTCATCTAGTTTTGTTGAACAGTTAGTAATTATTTTGGCAGAATTAGGTGAATTGAGAACAAAAATAAACATTTTGAAAAAACAAAGAAGAAGAATTTAGGAAACATAAAAAATTATGCAATCTTATGATGGATGTGTAAAGAGTTAAAACATTATGCTCGAGCCTATACATTGACTGTGTCATGGCCGGATTAAGCTTTCATGGGGACCGGGGCTAGTGAAGTTTAAGGGGGCCCTGTAGCCCCTTTATAAATTGGGTGCCAAAAAATATATATAAAAAAACTATATTCCTTCCTTTCTATATATTATATAACAGAAGACACTGCTATACCTACATGTTTTACAAAAGTAAGTCAAAATATCTTTTTTCTACTACCATGCTTAAAATACTCACTTTACGCACTATTCAGATTTCAGAATACGTAAAATTTCAGTTCACGCACTAGTGCTTAAAGTAATTCACTTCATACCCTAGTGCGTAAGGTAATGTCAATGACAGATGTTAACACTGTCGTCAATTTAGTATTTTTCTGTAAATTACTTCACGCACTGCAAAAACTTTGAGCACTAGTACGTAAAGTATTTGTCTAAATTTATTTTTTTACACATATTATGTTATTGGTTGTAGAAAAAATATTGTATGCTTTACGTGTGTAAAGGTGAGTTTACACACGCATGGATTTAGTGGCGCTAATAAAAACTGGCGCGCCAGTAAACTTAATTAGCAAGTGTAAACATGGACTTGCATACACATTTTATATTTGGATGCATAGTCCAAAAAAGTCTGCATCCTTCTGAAACCACTGGCGCCAGTGGTGAGAAATTCGTACAGAAAATCAAAACTTGCAAGTGTAAACTTGCATGTCGGCGTCTGCTCGCCAATTTTTCGTTTGATTTTGATTTTGGTTGCTGCGAGTTCTCCTATAAGTTTTGCAGAAGCAGCCAAAGTGGGTCGACGACCAATCCATGGTTTAACCCAAAAACGGCCTTTTTGTTGGTTGCGTTTCTTTTTCTGTATTTCTTTTATCTTTTTTTTTTCACTAAAAGTTTAGCGACTATTTTACAGGCTCGGAAAGTTCACTTGACATAGTGCGCACTGAGAAAAACACTTTAAAAGTGAAACTGGCGTGCCACTATTTTTCTGTTTTCCACAGAAAGTGTAAACCTTTACTGGCGTGCAAATAGAACTGGCGCGACCACTGGCGCCACTAAATCCATGCATGTGTAAACTCACCTTTAAGCACCTTTTTTCAGTCATGTGATGTCATGAGTCGTCAAAATTCACATTCGTGAAAAAAAGGTTCACTTTACACACTTGTTGCATAAACAGCTATTTTCGTCTGACACCAAAAATTCTGGATAAGAAAGTGTTCTAGGTGATTATCCAGGTAGCGGAAGACGGAAGAGAAACCTTTTGACCTGAAACAATCTTAACAATTATATGATGCATGCTTGCAGAATGAAGTAGGACATCCGCTAGGTGTCGCTACAACCGGTCATGCCACTGTGTTTCAAAAGGTTTTTTGTTAAAAATAGGTTAAATTGTTCGGCTGAAATTTTGCGAAACATGACGCGAAAGACTAGTGCATTTAATATTTACTGTTTGCCCACGGGCCCTTGACCAGCATAAGCCTCAACACCTCAACGTTCATTTTTCAAAAGTTAGGGCCCCTGCGTGCCCTACTGGAACGCGGGGCCCGGGGCTGCAGCCCCTTTAGCCCCCCCTTAATCCAGGCATGGACTGTGTACTAAACTTTCTATTCATGCTATCAGGAGATCAGGGTTTATTTTCATTTTTCAGGAGTTTTTTAAAGTTTAGCTTATTTTTTTTATTAGAAGTTGTTTTATTTTGAGAAATTCGTAAAAAGTTTCACTTCAATCTTTAATGACAGAATTATAAGGCCGCCCCTAGATTTGGCCGTCCGCGTGCGGGGCACGCGCTGCACACCTGCTAGGATCGGCCCTGTGTCTTGGATCCATACACCATTTATGTAGAGACACTTTTTGGTTTTTTAATATGGATTTCGTCAGATTTCCTTCTCTTTTGCTACAATCCATGAAGCCCTTACAAAGTACAGACAGATCGTTTTTTTCCGTTAAAAACTTGTGTTGTGTCTCTGCAGGAAGGGCATGAAACTAGACTTTTTCGCGATTCTTCCACAACTAAGTACAATACATAACGTATGCATTTTCCAAAAAATCAACACTTCACAGACTTTATACAAATCGAAAATCGCAATAAAACGGCATTTTTTAAAAACAAATAGGCATTGGCCTCCATTTTGAATTTCTTTTTGACAGGTCGTTGGATTGCCCCAATGAACTATAACCAAAAACTGGAATGCGCACACATATTAGTTGTATTCCTTTCAAGAGCTTGAAACACTGGAGCTACTCGCTTCGGTGCTTAGTCGCCCCCGATTTGCAGGGAACATATGCGTGGTGCAACAAACATTTTTCGAAAGGAATAAGCGCGTGAAGCCCCGGAGCTGTTCCAGAGCTCCTCCTAGGTGTGAAAGGAATACAACTATTGACGAACGTGAAGCCTAGTGCCGCTGCTGCGGAGGGGAGACCTGTTTTTGTGTCGCACTCATTATGTTAAATGGTGGAAATTGCTTCCAACGCGTATTTCCAATAGACCTGTCTCGTATAAATAGAAAAAGAGAGCTTAATTGTAATAATACAAGTTAGAAAGTAATAAAAGATGACATGCGCGCGCAACTCGTAGGTGCAGTGTAGCCAGATTGTATTGTAGCAAAACAAATGTAGACAATACAAATCCCACATTATAACATTAAAGAAGTGATATAGTGTCAAGTGTTTTACAACGCCTTAAATCAGACAAAAGAAGCGCTTGAAAAGTGTATGTTAACATAGTTTGCACTTTTATTTTGATAAATGTTTCATCCGGCAACATCGCACAATGCAATGGCATGTAATATTGACAGTTGAGTTGAAGAGGGCGCTTCTGTACTTGGATCTCTTTAAATTCTGGCGCGTAAAAATTCGATTGTAATTCTAACCTCAAAACTGAAGTTTGATGTGTGGTTTCAAGACAAGCTGACGCTGACACTTTTAAAAATATTCTCTAAGGGCCACTAAACGCTTTAGAAGATATTTTAACTTATCCATTGTCCATTGTTCATAGGTAGTCATCTTTCTTTCTACTCAATTTAATCAGTTTTAAACTATTGACATTTACCGCCAAAATTTAAAACACTCCAAGTTCACTCGCGCCCTCTAAAAAATTTTGAGGAACTTAACTGGATATTTGCTGCCATTGCAAAGGAATATGTCAAGTATATGTGGCCGGTTTGCGGCGGGCAAATAAGGCGCACTGATCAACTTAATTAATCTACTGTTTATTTATGCCAAATACAAAAATAAAACATCGGTAAAAAATGAAAAAATAGAAATTGTTCGGGCGTGTTGTTTTATTATTCGAGCGGGCGTCGGACCTGTCAGTCATCAGCTGGCCGGGACTCGGAGACAGTTGACGTTCCTACCGCTGGTGTACCGCGTTGCCGCTCCCTTTGCATGGTTGCCAACGGATCTGGGGCGGACATCCGCCACAGGGCTCCCCCCCAGTGAGGGACCCTCTGGTTGCGAACGGTTCTGTTGGCACGTGTTGAGGAGCAGGCGGTTGGCATATGCATGTTCTTCTAACACCTGATGAGACGCTGGAACGTATGCTGGTTTGAGTCGGTCCATCGAGACTCGCTGCGGGGCATTCTGGACAGGGGCGGATCCAGAACCTGTCCAAGGGGGGGGCAACGTCGACAGAGGTTGCGTGTGTGGCGGAAAGCCCGCCGCAGGTGCCGCCGTAGGCGAAAATTTTTTTGGGGTGCCACGC